GTGCAAGAAATACCTGTTGCCTGGCTGTGCAGTGAGAGGCTTTGGGATAACCACAACACAGTGGCCCTCATGAGGGTAGGGCTGCACTGGTATAATTCAAAAGCCAGCACACTTACAAGAAAACATGGAACTTCTGTGAATACTCGGGTAGTTTATGCAGCACCACAGATCAACGATGTTATTCATAGGGACCCGGCATGATTATACACATCAAGGGAAGGAAGAACAGAAGAAACTTTAATCACGCAAAACTGTATTTTATTGTTTAAAAGAAAACTTCCACTAAAAACTCACTTTAAAAAGAGTTACACCGACACTAGGCATTTATCACATTTCTATAAAAAGAGCTGGCTTCAGTCGCTCTTCTCTGGCTGCAAGTACGGACTCAAATGCCATGGTAATATCATGTCCAGAAGCCACACCCTTCATATGTTTCATCTATCAACTTCTTCCAGGGGGTGGAAGTTGTCAGCTCACCCGCTCAATTTCTTCTACACTGCACCTCTATCTCAAACAAATCCTACTGCAAATCTCTAGTGATGCATATGGTCGACGCTGCCAAGTTGCGCATCCCTCTTCGTGGGGGTACGACTCACCCACCCCCCACCCCTTAAGGAATGGCTCACAAGCCTTCTCAAAACTCAGTAGAACTCATAAGCATCGCAAATGACTCCCCCTCCAAGTTCACATCCATGTGGGCCTGCTTGATACACTTCTAAACGACTGAGACATATAGACGTACAGTATGTTAGGTCTTCCGTCCCTACCACCTACCTTGCCGGCACCCAGCCATATCGTAATATGATGGAAAATAATAAACAGACAAAATAAAATTAGATACGCTCTCAGCAGCCGAGGATTCAGGTGGGGTGGGGAATTATTCCAGAGGGACCTTGTGAATCTTTGCGAGTCCCCCCTTTTCCCCTGCCCGCTATTCATCTCCCCTCTCTGGCTTTCACTTCACTCCACCCTCTTCCTTTGTTGCTCCCTCTCCTCATTCTTTTTCCTCTTTGCCCCCATTCCCTCACTTTATTTTCTTCTTCTATCCTATGCCTTTGCATAGAATATCTTATGATTTTCAAGCCTCAATCTACTTCTAGAATATCTCCTCAATGGGAGGATCACATTGGCCATAGTAGATACTCTTCCTCTAAGAACAAATTTCTGAGAAGTCCCTCCCCTGCCCACTGTTACATGCTGACACTTTTCCAGGAGTGAGAGTACAGAAACCTAATTTCCTTGTGCTTTCATCCCTTATCCCCCTTCCAAAAACTTTTTAGATATCTGGTTCATACAAGTATATGTTTTTTAAATGGGCTGTTATTCCGTATCTGACGTTCAGATATCTGCTGTTCGTATACCAATATATCGATATAACTCTGTTATCTACCTGTTAACTATGGGACCCCTGACTCACCTTATCTGTCACCCATAGTATGTACACTGGACGATGCTTACTACTATATTGTATTACTTGGTTATGACTATTCTCTGTACACTGGCAACTTTTTCTCACAATTTTTTTGGAAAAGAAAAAAAAAATATTGACTCACCTGTTGAATTCAATGCATTTAATAACAATGGCAACATTTTATGGAAATTACCCCATTTTAACTGGCATTTATGGGAAATGTAAACTTCCAATTTTGCTCAGCCCTGCTTTTTAAGTACACATATTCATTTTTGTAAGCAGTCACCAGACTGTAAACATTTTTTTGACTTAGTATTGATGATGTGAGGCATGTCTAATACTTTCAACACTCTAAAACTGCTTGCCCACTGCCCAGTAGTAGAACTACTGCTACAGGGCAGCAGGGTTGTGCAAAATCACATATATATGTGTATATATATATATATATATATATATATATATATATATATACACACGTGATTTGCACTTCCGTGTAGGGGGCGCTCATGTGCGCATGCCATCCTACCCACGCAACCATTAGCAGCTAGGGATGTCAATCACCAGGATAAATTTCCTGCCAGCACCTGGCGACCGCACATATGCACTGACAGGTGAGAGACCTGTATGTAAACAACACAGGTTTCTCTCCTGCCAGTAAGGACATGCTGCTTTGTATGTCTCTACACAGCAGAGAAATACAAAGCAATATGTCTCTATAGTAAAACAGCACACACAGTAAAATGCACACAGCACGCAGTTAATCCTTTGATCACCCAAAAGTTAATCCCTTCCTGCCCAGTGTCATTAGTACAGTGTCAGTACTTTTTATTAGCACTGATCACTGTATTAGTGTCACTGAAGATGTCAGTGGCAGTTAGTTCCCACCCAGTGTCAGAATGCCATCCGCAGTCCTGAAGTCCCGCAGTCTCATTACATTTTGCTGATCACCCCCATTACTAGTATGAAAAAAAAAAAAAAAAATTCCAGGATATACACTGCCATTTGTAGACACTTTAACTTTCACATAAACCAATGAATTTACATGTATTGGGATTTTTTTTTAGCAAAGACATAGCAGAATACATTTTGGCCTAAATTTATGATGAAATTTGATTTTTACAAATTTTGTATTGGATATATTTTATAGCAAATAGTCAAAAATATATATATTTTTTATATTGTTGGTCTTTTTTGTTTATAGCACAAAAAAACACCCAAAAAACACAAAGGTAATCACATACCACCAAAAAAAAAGTTCTATTTGTGGAAAAAAAGGACAGAAATTTCATTAAAGTACAGCATTGCATGACAGTGCAATTGCCAGTTAAAATAATGCAGTGTCGAATCCAAAAAATGGCCTGGTCAGGAGAGGAGGGCAAGTGGTTACATTTTGTTATGTTACATACTTCTAATTATTTGACGTTGCCCAAGAAAGAGTCAATACAGTAAGACACAATAAATAAAATATGTTGTATTATTTTGAAGATAACACAACCATGCTTTGATCTCCTAACACTTCATCTGAGATGTTTGTTGATTAATTTCTTTTCTTCTGTGTTTTATGATGAGAAGTGTTTTAATCAAGGCAAAGAAGGGATTCCGGAGACGGGATTTAATTATCCTGGCAACAGCATCAGCCAAATGTCATTTTTCATTAGAGTGCTTTTGCACTAGTATACTCTTCCCTCTCTAAATGTGGTGTTGCATTATATTTATTGTATTGGAAATTAACTGTTTTACACATGTATATTTTTACTTTGGTGTACATAAGCCCTAAGAATGAACTTCCCTTATTTGTTTTTCTTTGATTATTTTTTTGTAGTCAGTTTGATAAATGCAAGAAAAATATCTGTTGATCCTGACAGAAATCATGTGCTGTCTCATGCACTCTGCATGGTCCAATTTTCTCCAGCAGGAATAAAATAAATTCCTTCCTGATCCCACAGAAGGCAATTGGATAGTCTCTGGATCAACTACCCCTGGTGTTCTTACCTACTGTATAACTGTTTATGTATATTGTACATTTTGTGCATTTAGGAATGCATCCAACTCTTCTGAGCCGGCTAAAACTATTTATTGATGGAGCCTATTTCTATTCTATCTTATGGAGAGAAGGAAAAGAGGAGGTGTTTTATAGTCCTTACATACTTTCTGTCCATGGTCACAATGCTGCTCTGTGATACACAACATTAAGTGAGTATTGTCACCCTAGCATAGGGAGTGTGTTACTGACAAGATCACAAGGTAAAAATAAGGGGAAAAAAGTTTAAAAAAAAGATAATTAAAGCAGCTACTACATTTAAGCACTGTTCTCTGTTCTTGGGTGACAATGCTTAGCCACTGAACTGTATCTATTGAAGAGCTGTGTTGTCACCCTAAGTTGCTCCTCTCTTTTGGATGGATGTCCTCTTTCATCTCCATTACATAGGCAGGAGTTGTTGTGGAATTCACAGAAGATACCTGGGAAAGCTAATTACATTGTTTGAGATATCAGTTCAGTGCACATGAGGTTACAAGTGTGTGGGAATGCTGGCAAGATCATCAAGTATTTTTCTGTACTTGTACTCATCATGAAAAAATTAAACTAATGCAGGCACCAAATGAAAAGACTACAAATCTGGGTTTAGAAATTCTTGAATAATTAAAGGCAAAAGTTTTTTTTTTAGTTTTGGACAGAGTGGAGATGGATTAGAACACCTGTTATGTTTTTGTTGCCGTCTGTGCCCCCATTAGGGAGATTCACCCTCTCTATTTGTTTACCATTATCAATAAAAGTAAAAGAAAACACCAAATTTTGGGATGTCCCCAGAAAAGTAATAGAGAGGAAATTTTCCAAGGAGGAAAAAGGAATTCCCTTAATTGCAGAGATATTCTCACTTCCTGTTTTGGCTATGGAAAAGGAAGTGAAAGTAAATCTCCCCAATTGGACACAGATGGCAAAAAATAAACTGACAGGGGTTACAGTCTTCCCTTACCCTATCCAAAATGAAAAAAAAATAAAATTGACTTTAGTTCTACTTTAACCAAAGCCTACAGGGCACTTATACCCCCCTTCCTGCCCAGGCCAATTTCCATCTTTCAGCGCTGTCACACTTTGAATGACAATTGCGTGTCATGCAACACTGTACCCATATGAAATTTTTATAATTTTTTTGAGACAGATAGAGCTTTCTTTTGGTGGTATTTAATCACCTCTGGGATTTTTATTTTTTCTTAAACAAACCAAAAACCACTGAAAATTTTTTTAAAAAAAAGTTTTTTTTCAGTTTTTGTTATCCAATTTTGTAAATAAGTGATTTTTCTCCTTCGCTGATGTGCGCTAATGAGGTTGCAGTGATGGGCACTGATAGGCTGCACTGATGGACACTGATAGGTGGCACTGATGGGCACTGATGAGGAGGCACTGGTAGGTTGCACTGATGGGCATTGACAGGCATCACTGATGGGCACTGAAAGGCAGCACTGATACATGACACTGATATATGGCACTGATAAGCGGCACTGATAGGCAGCACTGACTGGCACTGATATGCGGCACTGACTGGCACTATTAGGCAGCACTGACTGGCACTGTTAGGTGGCATTGACTGGCACTGATAGGCGGCACTTATGCGCACTGATAGGCGGCACTTATGCGCACTGATAGGCGACACTGACTGGCACTGATAGGCGACACTGATTGGCAGCACTGATAGGTGGCACTGATTGGCATTGATAGGTGGCACTGACTGGCACTGATGGGTGACATTGAAAGGCAGCTCAAATGGGCACTGATATGTGGCATTGATGTGCACTAGTATGCACTGATATGTGGCATTGATGTGGCACTGATGGACACTGGCACGTGGCACTGATGAGCACTGACTGCTGGCACTGATGGACACTGACAGGTGGCACTTCTGGGGCCACACTGATCATCAGGGCACACTGATGATCAGTGTACATGTCCCCTCCGCGGAAAGCCGATTACCGGCTGTCCTCTCGAGCTCTCAGCGTGACAGCTCGAGAGGAGAGAAATGCTGATAACCGGCATTTCCGTGTTTACATATGATCAGCTGTGATTGGACACAGCTGATCACATGACCGAGCCGACATCTTCGGCTCTTTCCGTGATCCGCTGTGTCCGAGGGACACAGCGCACCGGTGATCGCCGCGCTGCGCGCTCCCTGAGCCGCGCATGCGCAGTGAGAATGGAAGGACGTCATATGATGTCCTATCAGAACGAACCACCTTGCGCCCGTCATTGTACTATATGGCGGCGGAAGGTGGTTAAAGTGGTTGCAAAGGCTGAAGGTTTTTTACCTTCATGCATTCTATGCATGAAGATAAAAATCCTTCTGTGTTCAGCAGCTCCCCCTGCCTCCTTAATACTTACCTGAGCCCCATCGAGATCCACCGATGTGAATGACAACCTTGGCTGTTCTAGGTCTCTGCCTCCTCATTAAGGTTAGTAAGGTTAGAGAGGGGGCGGAGCCAAGCCATGGCTCTGTGTGTGAATGGACACACAGAGCAGCGGGTGCCCCCATAGCAAGCTGCTTGCTGTGGGGGCACCCGACAGACAAGAGCCAGAAGAGTCTGTGGGGGGCACAAGAAGAGGAGAATCCAGGCTGTTCTGTGCAAAACCACTGCACACAGCAGGTAAGTATGCCATGTTTGTTATTTTACAAAAAAAAAAAATTTAACTTTAGAATCACTTTAACTATATAAATCATACATCAATAAGCACAAATATTATAAACCTATACATAATCATGTTGATATGTGCATGTACTGTTGGGGCACATTTGCTGAGTTATAGCATAATGCACATTTACAGTATATTTATCTCACTACTGGTGCTATCTCTAATGTTCGCTAATTGGTGCTGAGGCCAGGCCATGGTGCTCATGGGATTTACTACTCTACCCTGTTTTCTATTTTTCTAGAAATAATTATAATGATTCCTACTTGCTTAGAGATAATATTTAACTATTAAAAGTAAAGCAAAAGTTTTTAAGCTTTTGGTATCCTTGCCGATTAATCAACTGCGTTAAATCAATGGTTTTTGCCCTTTTTAAATCTATAACTCTAGAATTGACAACCTGATGCAGTCTGAGGCTCTAAACCTTGTTGCCCATTGCAGATTATTTATGGTTATACCTACAATAAATGTAGTTTTACATTGTAACAGTTAATCAGACACTGACAGTTAAATATCAGCTTATAATTAATTGCCCCAATGATTATTTCCTAATTTTATGACCACCCACCTATTATTGAGTAGTACCCCCTTTCTTTTTTTTTGCTAAAACAGCCTCTTTTTTTTTCAAAACAGCCCTGACCCATCAAGGAATGGTTGCCACTAGACCTTTAAAGGTATGCTGTGGTATCTGGAACCAAGATGTCAGTAGCAAATCCCTTAAGTCCTGTAAATTGCAAGGTGGAGTCTCCATGAATCAGGCTTGTTTTTCCAGCATATCCATTGAAACTCGATTGGATTGAGATCTGGAGAATTAGAAGCCCAAGTCAACACCTCAGACTCATTGTTGTGCTTCTCAAAAATTTTCCATACCTTTTCAATACAGCAACAATGTTTAGGTAGGTGGTACATATCAAGTAACATCCACATGATTGGTAGGATCCAAGGTTTTCCAGCAGCATATTGCCCAGAGCATCACATTGCCTCCATTGGCTTGCCTTCTTCCCATACTGCATCCTAGTGCCATCTCTCCCCCAGGTAAGTGACGCACACTTCACATGGCCATCCACATGATATAAAAGGAAACATGATTTATCAGACCAGGCCCCTTTCTTCCATTTCCATTTCCATGGTCCAGTTCTGATGCTTACATGTCCATTGAAGGCACTTTTGGCTTTGGACAATGGTCAGCACGGGTACCCTGATCAATCTGAACTAAGCAGCCCCATACACAACAAACTGCATTTCCCACTTTTTCTGCTTTCAAGACATCAACTTCAGGGACAACATGTTTACTTGCTGCGTTATATATCCCAAACCTACTTTCATATGCAATTGTGACAAGATAATCAATGTTATTCATTTTACCTGTCAGTGGTCATAAAGTTATGGTTGATTGGTGTATAGTTCTTTATGTTTTAAGGGTGTGCTAACAGGAGCATTTCTTGTTGCCCATTACAACCAACTTGAATCTCTCTCTCATTTTGTTCTCCACATTGAAAAACTGATATTTATAGGCTGATTAGTTGCTCTTGGCAACAGGGAATTTTCTTATCGGCATGCTTTCAATGCATAAGCCCCTTTGTATTTTATCAAACATTCACAAGGCTTGTCTTTGCAATTTTGTTTCTTTAAACCACAGTGATTTAAATGAGGTATGTGACTTTTAATCATTCTTGTCCAATTCAGTGATGCTGCTATCTAATTAACCTTCTTCTTCTATTCTGCTGCTTTTCCTTATCACTTCTCCTCCACCTTATGGTTATCTATTGTTCATTTATAACTGCAAAAACTTCCTGCTGGTTTCATGGCACACTGCTAAATACAGTAGAACAAATGGTCACAAAAAACCACTGTAGAAAAGTTGTACTAAATGTATTTTACAATTTAAAATAAATCTTACAAGCTTAGTGGGCAGTTATGAGGCTTTGACTTACAAGAATGATGCTAATGCCAAAATGCCTAATGGGTCCTACATTACAACAAGGGTGACAAGTATCCAAACAATAGAACTAGATAGACAAATAAAACCTCATAGCACACTTTTGGTTACTTTGGTTATTGTTAGATGCCATACCATGCCAGTATTCAGCCCATCATAAAATGTACTTATTGACCAATTTGCTTTAATTACAAGAAGTTGGAAGTCACCACACTGCCATCTGTTTTTTGCTAATTCCATTATGTATCCAAAATGAGCATGTGCAAAATCTTGAGCTTGCATTGTGGTTACATTTCAAGCTACATGTTTTCAGACATATTTGGCCAAGCTTTTGAGTGTGATCTTGCCTTTTATAAAATAACACTCAATATTTTTTTTTTAAAGCAAGGCCTCAGCTTTATTAGACTCTAAAGCAATAAATTACCAACTTCTTAATGAAACGCAAACAAATTTGAACCTAGTGCCAGTTACAAGTACACTGTAAGCACCCAGTATTGTAACATTGTCTAAACACCTATCTTCTCCAAGTTCTAAACAGTCATCCAACAAACCAATGATCTCAATATATGGCTTACTTTACAGAGATATACCACTGGCAAGGTAAGAAACCGCAACCACACACATTGGCCTTAGCCAACACTGCTCCCTTCTGCAGCCAGGACCACTTCTATGTTTGTATACCAGAATTGAAAATATTGAGCCCATATTGTTTAAGGGAACCCCATCACCTCTGACTAGTGCTGAGTTATCATCTTCAAGTTCTTTCATTCTGATTACATACTTCCCAATCTGCCATAAAAATATGCAAACTCATATTTCTTCTGCAGTGTTCTGATTTTGATTTACCCATACCTTGTGAAGAACAATGTGATCATAAGATTGTTAAACACTGCACAGCAATGAGCAATATCATTCTTAATAGCTATTACCAGGTCATAAGAGCTCATGTTACTTAGGCCAGTTTCTTCATCATATGATACCACCTCATACTCCCAAACCTCCATCAAAGTAATCTGGTTGCCTGGAAAGATATACCTAGTTTCATTCCATAGCTTTTTTCTGGCCCCCTCTGAACTGCCAAACAGATAGACAAATCCCCAATAATTCATGCCAAGACAGGAGCCAAACCAGTAATTAATACGAAAGTTGAGGTCTAACATATATAGAAAAATGAATCAGTTCCCCCCTGCCTAAATGTTTAAGTTCTTCATCTGAAAATCCCATTGCTGTAGCATCCCTTATCCTGAATGAATAGGTTGAAAAATTCTGATGAGTGGATACCAAATTTAAGTAAACATATGCAAAGCTCACCCAGAAATTGGACTCTACTAAGGTAAGAAAAATCTTCATGGACATCAAAGACTGTATATGGATAGGCATACCACAGAATATTCCTTTGCTAGTTTTGCTGGGCAAAATGGGACATTGCAGGCCAACATGGAAACTGATTGGCCCAAATACTGGTCCATTTTTTTATTTACATAACATGACCAAAACACTGGAGTCAACTATCACTAAATCCTCTGTCATTTTACCTCCCGGAGTATTCTTGTTATTTGCTGACCTGAAAAGCACAAAAAATACCCAGAAACATACCGTCTAGAAGAGCAATACTTTGAAAGCTGAAAAACAAACATTAGACAGTAAGATCAGTATGTGTGGAAATAAATCAGCTGTCAATGTAAGCTGGAAATCAAGGTTGAGGGATAGTCTTTTTAAAAATAACATGTTATACATACCTGCTTTAAAATTGCACAGAGTGGCCCAAAACCTGTTCCTGCGCTGGTGTCCCCCACCAGCACTTATGGCTGCTCCTCTTCCTATTCTGGCACACCTGTGGGCCCAATCCTGAGCCACACTGCCTGCATCCATAGACAAATTCAGTGTGGCTCTGCCCTGCCCCCACTACCTTGTCACAGTATTTTATGGACAGCAGCAGGTGCCACAGCCTCAACAAAGCTTGTGAGAGCTAGGAAAAGAGATGCTACAAATGGGCACAGAGCTGGATTGAGTGAGGGTTCGGGTATGTATGGAGTGGGGGGGTGGATGAAGGGGCTATATTATAACTTAAACATTTTTTACATTAAGGTAAAAATTGGTAAGGCTTTAGAACTACTTTTACTATCTAGCGAATAAAGCAATCTTTGGTTATGCCTTCCCAACCTAATAAGAAACACCAGAATGCTAGAGCTGACATTGGTGTGTCAACTGTGTGGCCTGTTTTGTAACACAAGCAAAAAGGCTATAAGTGACAAGCATCTGTCAATGAGAGCTGAAGCTTAACACACTGTGAAAACATTGGCTTCTTTTTCCACACATGAGAATAACACAAGAGGGCTCTTTTAAGTGCAGCAGAAAACACATTTAATAATAAAAGAGTAAATATCTACTCATATGAGTATGAAAAATGAGGTTTATGTCACATAACCCAAAAACTGTCTGTGGTCCCAGGCAGTGAGGAAGAACATCCAGCTAAGCAGAACAA